AACTTAGGTGCAACTTACATAATGACGGTGTGAGGTCTCTGTTATGCCATATGTCTATCAACACAGAACCACAGGTGGGGGCCCAATCAGTCACTTAGAACAGTGCTCCCAGTCTTGGTACACAAACAGAGCAGCCTATGGTTTACACCATCTGTCCCACTCACTTGTACATTCATTCTGCAGGCCTGCAGAGATTGAACATTCCAATACCTTTCCCTTGAGGGTAGCCCTAACTGATATGGGTCATTCAGACTCTTCTGCTTTACATGAGATGGAGGGACAATCAGGACAACAAGAAGGCATGCACAGACAGACAGGTGACAGACAGACAAACAGACAGTCAGGCTGGCAGGCCGGCAATCAAGCAGGCAATCAGGCAGACAGACAGACTGTGTCCTCCTCCCTTTCTCAGGTCCATTTTGAACTGCTCATTGAAGAGGTAAGAATCCTCCTCCAGACTTCTGAAGGGACTCAAGAAATTTTAAAAGCACAATGGTACACCCTCCCATCAGGCCCTGGAGAGGTCCTAGCTCTGTCCATGAGGGGAATGACCAGTGACCAAAGACAGTTTAATCAGTCTTCCAGGCTAAAGTGCCAAATGCAAGAGCACTCAAAACACCCAAATGACACCCAGGATTTGGAAGCAGATTTATTTTATGTTGACAGGAACTGTTTGGGATCATTTCCAAAATATTCAGGCCTAAGGCTCAGGGAGGGAAGTCTTTATGGGAATGCAAAAGGGAAGTTCAGAGACAGAGCACTTTGCTGCTTCTGACTGATTCTTACAAAATGTATCATAATGACCAGCTATGCATTACAATGATCAGTCATTTCTACTAGACAAAAGCAAACTACCACTTTGACAACAAAGAAAGTGAAGTGTACTGGTGGGGGAGAAATTTTCTGATACGCCATTACCATTTTGTACCATTTCTACTACTCAAATGCGTAAATGCATACTCATATTGTGGATTCTTTTTTTATTGAGAAACCAATAGCATTAAGATAGTTTCAAAACAGATTAGTAGGACAGTTACAATTAACACATTGCATGTTGTTGCCTTCACAATAGTTATTCATAGTACAAGATGCAGGCATGACGTCCTGCCCAAACACTATTAGTACAATTATTTAGTCTCATTGAATTAAGAGAAAGTAACTGTATATCTATCCTATCTCGTATATACAGATATATAGGCATATAGCTAGATGTATAT